CATAGCTGAATCGGATGAAAAAAGACATGTAATATCAAAAGAAATATTATATTCTGTAAGAATTGATATTAAAGTTTGACCTATCGTTGTATTATTAACAGATTCGAGAAAATTAACAGAAACAAGTTTAGTAAAATCCCGAAATACAAAAAGAGTATTGACCACACTACGAGTACAACTATCAGTTGTCTTATCCATTATAATTGCAACTGGTTTATTATTAAAAAATAATTTAAGATTATTATGGTGTTTTTCAAAGATACGTGGCAAATAAATTTGTCTTAAAGTTGAGGATTGTGGAATCGTTCCACCATATTTAAGATGTTTTCTAAAGAATGGAATTAGACGATCCACTTTTTCAAGTGGAATATTAGCAATAGCGAATGATTCAATTAAATCTTCTATGGTTTCATTTTTTATATCCACTGCACTGAAACTAGCCTGAATAGATGCTTGCTTCTTGGCATGTTCTTGAGACTCGAAATTATTTTTATTTGTTTTATGCTTTTTGCTATTGCAGTGATTATCGACCGTCGATTTCGATTTCCATTCCACAGGTTCATTGCAGTATTCACATATCAAAACATTACTATCAACACGAAAAGTATTTGGATGTTCTTGAAGTCGGGTCAGTATTGTAACATTTTGTTTTTTAGGCATTATTGTTAAATCAATATGTTTTATGTTAGTAAAAATATTTTTATTAATTTGTTTTTATATTTTTACAAAATCTTTCAAGAATTTCCATCTCATCTATTTTATTCTTCGGAATTAAAAAAAAAATTTTTAAGAATTGAGGCTTGTGCATTAACAATAAGAAATATTATTTTAATTTTTCTTGCACTTTTTTTTCGCGTGAATTTAAAAGATAATATGAAATTTTTACATTTTTTTACACAGCCATCAGTATAATTACACCCGTTTTGATGATATTACATTCTTTGTGTTTAGTGACTATGAATTATATTACCTTACTTTTTGGGTTAGTACTTAAATTAAATGGCGATACATATTATGACAGAGTATCGGTAATATCTAATTTTTTTTATTTTAGTTATATATTGGTAACACTGCAGATAAAATTGCGAATTATGTGCAGATTTTTAAAAATTCTTAAATTATGTAAGGTTCTGTGGTGATATAACTGTAATTATGTGATTTGGCCCTAATTATCCCTAATTATGTGAATTCTGTGGTATTATGTAAAATACAGAAAATCATCGTCCCTGGTCTGGGATATGTCAGATTAATGCTAAAATTGGATATTGCTAAAATTTTGGGGTCTAGATTTAAAAAATATAACCTTTACAAAAATCTATCTATACTCTATAAATACTAACCTTAAACTAATTTCAAAATTTCAGCATCATCCTCAACATTATATTTCAAGTAATTATATAACGATCTCTACCTAGGCCCAATCTCTAATTACAAGTTCTCTTACTTATAGTACTCTCTTTCTTGATATGCTAAATTAATATGGCTATTCTATTGTTAAACATTTTGATCTTATTTACTTTTTGTCCAGAATTGAGCAATAAATTGTATGTTTTTACAAAGCATACATAGATTATTTTGAGATGATAAAAAGCAAATTTCTGATACGTATTTTTTCCAAATTCTTACAAAAGACTATTGATATTAAAATCAGAAATTTTATTTAAACTTGATTGATAAATACGATATAATCTGATATAACTTTCACTTGTAGGAAGATATGTAATAGGCATAGTATCTTCTTGAAAGTGGTGACTTAATAAAATTTTTATTATATAGGTACATTTTATTAAATAAGTCTTTTATTTACTGAAAAAATTAAAATATCAAAAATATCATCAATTTATTGTACAGCCAAGTTGTTTTTTTTTTTTTTTTTTTTTTAAGAGAGGTCTTTCCTCTATTCCTTTTTTTCAAAATATATAATTGAATACAATTTGTACAAATTTATACATTAAACGAAAGGGAGTAGAAGTGAGGGCTCAGGTTTACCCTCGACCTATTCTTAGCTAGAACGGTCGAAAACCTCTA